GCCATTTCTAGATCATTCCATTTTACATGGCCGGCTGATACCGTAATATTTGGGAACTGAAGCTTTTAACTCAAACCAAAACCTTTCTTTGCGTGTGCTTTCATATTGGATAACTACGCACTTTAACTTTTGCCTCCGTGCCGTTTAGACGCTGTTTCATTCTGCTCTCTTTCTATCGCAACAATATCAAAAATATAAATTTTTTTGGATAGGCACGACTAGAGTGCCAAGTGAAGTGTGGTCACAAATGTCAATTGTAAATAAAAATGGAATTAAAACTGCCAAGTGTTTTAGGTACTACTCGTTTCCAAGTCAAGGCAGATAACATTGACTCCTCTAAAAACGTGCTTTACTGATGAAATTGTTTTACCAAAACTGAGACTCTGCTACCGAAGCTTGGCGGTCTTTGCAGCGGTTACGAAAAGGACAAGATCCTAATTAAGGACTAACAAACATTATTCGGAAATTTAAAGCAATGAAAACATTGGGGATTCAGCCAGAAAGGGGACGAAAGTGTGTTGCAGCACAGGTAGTGGATGATGTAGCGACGCAAGTGTAGGAAGACAAATTGCAAACCATCGGCAGCACTAACGTTCGGCGTATTGCAACATCTGTTGACCAGCCTCGGTCCACGGTTCATTAGATTCTTCGAAAGGTCTTACCCTACTATCTCTATAAACTGCCGCTAGTGCAGAAGCTCTTACCAGGTGATCTGGATAGTCGACAAAGCTAAGCACCAAAATGAATGGCCGTGGAACATTTTATGGACCAAGGAGACCCACTTTCATATGGAAGGTGCGGTTAACAGGCACAATTTTCCGTATTTGGACTGCTACAAACCCACATCAGTTCCTACAAATTCCCTTACACTCTTCGCATGTAACGGTTTGGTGCGGCCGTACTGCAACCTTCATTGTGGGTCCTTTTTTCTTCAAAAAACATAGCGCCGCAGGTCCTGTAACATGCACCGTCACCGGTCACCGTAAGCTTCGATATTACAGCAATCCGTTATTCCGGCTTTTCAGGCAAGGCGGTGTGATACAACTACAGTGTTTATGCAGGATGGTGCTCCTCCATACATCGCCCGTTCTGTGAAACAAGTGCTCCGCCTCCATTTCTGTGACGACAGAATCGTTAGCTGGCACTTTCCTACAGCTTGGCCTCCTAGATACCCCGACTTGCGACTTTTGGATGTAGGGATACCTCAAGGCCATGGTCTACCGTGATTCCATCACATCTTTGTCCGACTTCAAAGAAAGGATAGAAAGCCATGTGCGTAACATTCCCCAGTTCATGCTGCTTTCAACAGTCGCACATGCGATTTTACGCTTTCAGATGGTAGCAATGGTGGACATCATATTGAGCATGTTTTGTAAACTTAAGTAGATTATTGATATGTTCTCAATAAAGATATGTTACGCCACCTAGTGGTTGTTTGTGAAACTCGTTGTTTTTTTTTTTTTTTCCTCGATTCTGTTCCCATCATTTCATTCTGCCATTACCCAATTTTCATGCAATTCCGCTGTATAGTTTTTGCTACAGACTGCTCGCAAATTTCAAGTTTAATTATGGACACCCTGTGTATATATATATTCGGTGTCCGCAGAAGTCCCCGTCTGCCTCTTCTTCTCGCTGAAGTCGGTCATGTTACATATAATTCCAGTTGTAGAAATGTTTTAAATTCAGCAATTATTCTTTTTTCAGCATTTTCAAATTTAAAGAAATCTAAAAGTTTTAAAATCTAATTTTTTATACTTTCATCTGCTCTCTGCGAGAAACATGCATACATTCATGCAGATGTTTTATTATTTAATTTCTTTAAATGTATTACAGGGCGATAATATTTGGTGGCAACAATTTGCAAAATGATAGAACGCATTTAACTTTTTCGACGTAAAATGCCGTAACGAGTCTGATATCCCATTCGGGACTAACGTTCCTTTTGGGTTAATAAAAAGGCAAAACATTTTTTGTCTACTTTTATACTAAGGAACCTAAATACTAATATAATGAACTGAGAAAAGACTCAAAAATGTATAAAAATGTATGCAAATACTTAACACTGCATCCGGAATTCTACACATATACTGCTGTACTGCATTTAAAACTTTGTAATTTTGTTGTTGAATTGTAAGATGTGAATATGAAGAAAATGATGCTTAATAATAAAAAGAGAAAAGGAAATGGGTTACCAGGAGTAAGAGAAACAGGAGACTGGTAGACTGCTAGCTCAGCGAGAATGTAAAATACCTAAACATATCCTTTTGTGAATGATCTGGACAACCTTTTAGAATTTTTTGTTTCTGATTTTGTTCTGATAATCCGCTAGAATTTAACTCTTATTACGCTATTACTCCTTTCTTTTAATTTTTTTTAATTAAAATTGATTTTTTCCTCTTTATTTACATTTTTTATGTTTGATACATGAAAAGCATTTTCACAAAAATAATTTAGAAATTTTCAGAATCTGGATTTACGTTATCACATTATAAGGTATTTCTCCTGCTTTCCTAGCGTTCCTTCGTGGTGTAGTAGTTCTGCAAGCTGGGCCTATATTCCAGAGGCCCGTGGTTCGATTCCCGGCGAAGGCGATTGCTAATTTTTCATCCTGCTTAAAAAAATACCGAATGTCTCTACAGTGGCGCCCGAACTAAAAGGGTGTTTGATGAGAATTCTTCATACCCAGGATTTGGCGATTGGGTCCCCTAAAAACCCCAGGCGCCCTTTTAAAAGAGAAATATATAAGATATTTCTCTCGCTTTCCTAGCGTGCCCTCGTGGTGTAGTGGTTCTGCAAGCTTGGCCGGTATTCCAGAGGTCCGTGGTTCGATTTCCGACGAAGGCGATTTTAAAATTTTCATTTCTCGTGCTTCCAAAAAATGCTAATTTTAAAAAATGCCTAAGGCGATTGCTAATTTTTCATCACACCTGCTTTCCAAATAATACCTAATGTCTCTACAACATAAGTACATTAAATTTTATTACTTTAGAATCATAATCTGGTAACTGTCAAAAAAATTCATTAAATTGCAAGTATTTTTCCTGTTTAAATAATGCAAATATTATTGTTACGGATTTTGTATTTAGTTAGCTATTTTTAGCAGAATTGTAATTATTTTTTTTTTTTTTTTTTTTTTTTTATTTTCTCAATGCAATGCAGCAAGAGGCATATTTTAAGAGAAAGCTAAGCCGGAAAAGTAAAAATACAGGAGCACGTGCATTTAATAAGTATATACAGATTTAATGTGTGTGTGATTATGGCAAAGCCTCGTGGGCTATCTGCCTAAAGGGAGGAATGCCTTCGTGGAGGACTTTCTAAGGGAACTGACTCGTATACACGTTACACATGGGGAAAACCACGAAAACGCCCATGCAGCCAGCCCGTTCGCGGGATTCGAACCTCGGACCGAACTACCAGTGTTCAGCGACTTTACCGCTCGGCCGCTGGTGGGCTAATAATTTATATTTAAACTGAATAATTGTACTTGACTACTGTGTTAGCTGTGGCCGTAATTCTATTCTCTTGCTTTCCAGAAATCTTGAGAAAACGGAAACATAACATTCTCGTGCCCGATTAAAAGCTTTAAAAAGCCGGAGAGAAACATCTCAGTTCAGTTGTTTACATAACTGTTGTTTGTCGATTGTAGCGAAATCGCGGTGAGATCAGATTTGCTTTCCCTGCGCTTTGGATTGCATTTTATTTAACGTTTAGTTTAAAATATAACTATTCTGCCATATTGTGATATTGGACGAATATCGTTGATGATAAACCTAGCGTTTTGTTACATTTCTGTGATAAGAATAAATTTTATTAATTTTTTATCGGACTTGTGCATTCAGTCTGTTACGAGTCCGTACGCACGCAGCATTAATTTGAATTTGCTGCATGGCAATGTGAAAGCCTGCCACTGTTTTCTAGAACAATTTTCAAATACAAAGGATAGGTAAGATTCTGTGAATAAAATGCCCGCTTTGAAAAAAAATATTATTTTGATCAACATTTCTTTCAGAACTACTCGTAACTTTATCTCTTAACATCAGAAATCGTTTTCTAGATGATGGTAATATTTTAGTTACGTAAAAAGGCATTGAGTTCACTTTTCAACTTGTTTATGACCCCTGAATATGATATCCGATATTAAAATCCATAAATTTTTGTTATGAGGCAGTCAAACGTTTTATGTTTCATTTTTGCACATTTTTGTAAATATACAAATAGCGAAAGGAGGAACTTGTAAAAAGTTAGTAAATTTACAGAATTTATTTCTTTACATTTAAAAATGCCAAAATATGAATATTTGCGTCATGTAAAACAATTTTGTAACTGGAAGTATTATAGCCGATAGTTTCCTTATGAGGTAACGGCCGAGTAAGAACTTTGGGCAGACAGTACATATATATATATATGTAACAAACAAATAAAATTATAGCAAATAAAACAGTTAATTAATGAAAAGCAATACGCTCACGTTGTGTGTACGTATACATGCAAAACTAGAAAATAAATTTCCTTCAAAAATCTATTTAAATAATTACATAATTTCATTCCTTCTTGCAAAAGCCATTCTCTTAAAGACGAATTTAAATATCGCTGTAAAAAAATTACTCGAAGTTTAATTACTACCCCTTGTGATCCGAGTATTCATTTATGTTACTCTTCCATGAAAAAAATGCTGCTCGCTTTTAGTTAGAGAATTTAATCATTCTGAATGCAAAAAAAGAAAAATAAATAAAAACGATCTTCATTCATGCATCAAAAAGACGTAAGTAGATTTTAAAAATACAATAAATTCTTTAAAAGAAAATTTGACTCCTTATGATTAAAGAGAACTAAAATTCGAGAACATAAATTTGAAAATTAAGAAAAACACGTGAGGAAAAACCCAACTTTTAAGTCAAAGTGGGGCGCTGGTGTCTTTATAAGGCTAGATAACTATGCAATCGATGAAGTTCTGGTCTACACAGAACTCCTTCATTGCCTTTTCAAAGTAACCACGGCGGTTGCCGCGAAAGCAGCACTTAGTAGTTTTGAGCGAAGCGAATATAAAAGTTTGAGGTACTCGTGAACTCACTGAACTTTTTTTTCAGAGAAACTGAGATATTGTGACTCAACAGGATATTTGACTAAAGAAATTCACCTTCTTCAGTTTTAATTTTCTGCTTCCGATAAAGAGTACATTTTTTTGTATGTTATGGTTAATTTTTAAATTTGCCTGCGGCATAGAAAGGAATAGGTAAGTTTTGCACTTTTGTTCAAAAAATGGCTTAAAATTTAATTCGTTCTTTAAAATAAAGCATATATATATATATATATAAAGAGATATTTGCTAATAAATGCATTAATGAATTAATTAAAATTAATTTGAAATAACGAAAATTCAAAAAAACTAATAAAAAATAACAGATATTATTTCCATCTACGCACTCAAAATACCGAGAAAAATATAAAAATCTAATAACATTTTAAAAACTTTGACACATTGTTGCTGAAAGAGTAATAAATTTTAAAAGTACAAACTGAAAATTTAAAGAAAATTTAAAATTACATTCTGAAATGCCTTCAGATTCTTTGTTCTACAGTTAAATCCATGTGACTTTTTAATGTGTCCCTTTGTTTTACAGTTAATCCATGTGACTTATTACTTTTTTGGTAGCTTCTTGTATTCTTTTATGTTTTCTTATTTACTAGATTGTGATAAATGTATCTTCTATACTTAATCGTGTTTAATAGCAACTTCAGATCACTTAAAATTTCATTTTTATTAATATATTAAGTAACCTTTTACATATTTGTGCAAATAAATCGAATAAATATCTTCTTATAATGTGAAATGCATGTAAATATATAATATAAATTTTTCTCATTAAGAGAAAGAGGAATTCTTGAAAAACTAAACTTGGGTATAATGAAAATGAAATTAAAATTTACAGCTTAGTAGGTATTTCCGATGTTTTCCTTATGAACATTTTGGGCGTTCAAGAGTACCTTTACAGAAAAAAATAGCAAAATATAAAACAATATCAGTATTAGATTAGCGTATACGTTAAATAAAATGGAATTATATTCATTTTGAGAGGACTAACGTAGATCTTTCTTCTCCAGGAGCAAAACCATTTTGCAATCAGAATGAAATGAATAACACGCGCTTCCAAAGTAAAATATTATTACTTCTGAAGAACAGTGGTCTAGTGAATTGCGTTTGAAATTTACATATACTTTATAAGCGTATAAGTAATAAGATTTTTTCTCTAATAATTTTCCTAAAGTATGTTTAAATAAATGCTTTGAGAAATTCATTACCTCATGAAGACTGTGAGTGTTGTTTTTCTGCTTATACACTATCCTTGCAGAGAAATCCACTTTACAGTCGTCATTCTGAGGACTGTAAAGTGGATTTAATTAATTTGTAATACATGCAAAATTAAGTGGCATAGTTAATTTACACATGCTCATCTCAATCGAAGTCAAGAGAATTTTATTTAAAATATATGCAAGGTTATTATTAGATTTTTTTTTTCGTGCTAGAAAACATTTCTTTAAAGCTGTTAATTTAGCTTAAAGTGAAACGTAAAATAATAATAAAATTAATTGTTAGCTAAAATCTCAATATCAAATCGTAGCATTTTAATATTTACTAACAACTGCGAATGTTAAAGACTTATTGCCAATAATAATGTAGGCGTGTAGCTGTAATGTAAATATGTTAACATATGTTTTGCAGTTCACTTTTCAATTGGCAGCAATAACGAGTTTGTTCAAATATAATGAGTTTGGAAATCTATGCAATCTATGCAATCTTCTCTATGCAATTGTGTGTAATGTATATACTAGCCAGTTTCCCTTATAAAATCCTCCACGAAGGCATCCGTCCTCTCATAGATAGCCTTCGAGTGCTTCGCCATAATGAAATACACCACCACACGCACCACTCTATGAGCTCACCAGAAATAATAAACATTAAGAAAATAATTTGCAAGTGTATTTCACAAAACTCTTCGGCGTTCTCCTAACTTTCATCTCAACTAATTAAGAACTACAATGTCTTCAATTCAAATAGCATAAAAGATTTTGTTTGTAATACACGAAAATTTGAAATTGTAAATTTGTTTATGTAGAACACCTGAAGGCTCCTAAATCACTATATTTCACAAAAAATAAAGAATAAGGTATTAGAATAAGAAGAAATATCGTAAAAAACTAAACACCTGATTTTCAAACTGCTGGGCTGATATACCGACCATTAGACCGAAACACTACGAAAGGATACGAGAGGATTTTCTTCCATTAATTCCATGGTGAATAATTTAGTTTCTTCCATCTTAAAGGAAACCGAGAAAGAATTCAAGCACGTCTAAGCGTCTGAAAATTAATATGCCCGACTTCTGACACTTTCAAAGATTCCTAGCAACCTTGATGTAAATTGAAACTTGTCCTCAATTTATATAACTGATATATTAAAAAATGCAGGGCAATAACATATGGAAGAAACGTCTGAAGGCTGTGCATTAAAAAGATTAATGTATCTTTCAATCGTGCCTTTCTCTAAAGAAAGGAATATATGAATGACATTATACATATATATTTTTTATGCTTAGCTCTGCTCTGTAAAAGAACGTAATTTTGGAATTAAAGGTTTCCACTAGCCAGCGTTCACACAGCGATTAATTTCGAAATAAGCTAAGGGATTGCCTGCAATATTAGCATGGAAAAGGACATCGGGAGAAGTATGTGAGATCCGTAAGAAAAGATAAACAGTGATATATGAAAACCCTCTTTTGCCATTTTAAGATTTCAGGTTTCCTGTCAAATCGTCTGAAGAATTTTGAATACTCAAATCATTCTGAAAAAAAGAATTTCATTGCAGTTGAAAATATTTTTAACCTGGCGAGGTTTCATTAAATTTCTGTTTAACAAGTTTACAGCTATGACTACTACCTTCATCTCTTGAAATTAAATCACCATTGATTCGAATAGCTATTTCGAGCTTTCTTTTAAAGTTATCAATTTATTTGTACAATGGGATTGTTTGCTCTATTCCTAAAATTTTTATGTACTACGATTACTAAATTTTTATCTAAGAAATCGTAATTACAGTACTCTGCCGCTACGAACTTGAATTGCATTAGCAACTTTTGCAGATTACAGATCTCCATTTTCCATACTGCTCTGACCTTTCTTTAGCGAATTTTTTAACTTCACAACACACTCTCATAATGATATTCGCTAAAATCCTTTCCTACAATTATTGGTGAAGTTTTAAAATGACTATCTAAAACTGGTCTGGTATATTACGCACTTCGAAGCTGAACATGACAAAACGGATGACACTTACCTTAATATTAATGAAAATGAAAAATTTCGGGTTATCAAACTTGTTCTTGACTGAATATCTTATCTTTCATGAAATGCTGAGAACGTTAATAAACCTCTCGGTGGAGACTGTACGATAGCGGGCACAGAATCACAAGTAAAAAACACGGTAAGATAACGAATTCCATTCCTGAATGAAAATACCCACATAAGATCGTAAAAAACTGGTGGGATTAGAGAAGTTCTAAATGTCTTTAAAATGACGTTAGAGGACTGCCGAGAAAAATGAGATATGAAAATTTCGATAAAAAAAGGAATTTCTAGCATTAACGAATATAAGTTTACATTACTTTACTGTATTTATAGCTAAACTAGGCAAATTAAATGTATAATTCTGAGAAATCATATGAGAGAGACACATGATTCAGGAAAAGTACTACAAATCTTAATGAACAGCCAGCCCTATTTGTATCAGATGAGCTTAGCTTAAAATCTGAAGCATAGGAATGTTTAAAAACTATAATTTCAGTATTTAAAAAAATCACTGTCTCTTTATAGATTCCGTCAGTAATGGTTTTTATTAAAGCACAATGCTATGTACACCTTGCACAAATATAAACAAATATATAAAAATAAAGAAAATCTAAAAGCATTTTTTCATTACCAAATACATTCAAATTTAGAGAGCGTTTTGGCTAACGCTCCTATTGACTAAAAATATTTTAAAATAACATATTTTTAGAATTTTCGGTAGACACTCTCGAGCGCTGGAGATAAAATTATTTTATTCTGTACAGTGTGTTGCCACTGCTCACTTTGAAATAGTTTCGTTTCCTTGTCAAAAATGCGTTACATTAAAAAAGTATGGAATAGATAATAAAGCATATTCGAAACTAAAGATTCAGGCTTCCATTTGTAGATATTCGAGTGGAGGACTAAGTTATTCAAAATTTGATGGCTCTGTGTACCGTTGTTTTTTCACAATGCAAGAAACATACAGACATTCATGCACATTTTCCAGTACCTAATTTCTTTAAATATGATACAGGACTACAATATTTGGTGGTAACAATTTTAAAACTGATGCAGCCGTTTACAGTCATTCGACGTAAAATGCCGCTTCGAGACCAATAACCCTTCTGGGCTTACACCCTGTGGGCTTAAAATAAATCTGAAAGCTTTCAGATTTTATATTACGCCCCAAGGGGCTTTTTTAACGCTTTATGCGTTACCTTTACTTTCTAAATATCATATTCTTTGCACTTAAACGACATAAAATTCAATTCAACAGCAATATCACAAAATATTTAAAAGCGCATGTCTTTAGAATTTCTGATAGAGAGTCTCGCGCGCTGGAGATAATTTTTTTTTTCTGTTCAGTTTTTTATGTCTGGGCTTAGGATATTTTTTAGATTTATATATATATGTATATATATTGCATTTTTGCTATGCTTGCTTTAATATCATTCAGGTTAGAATCAGAAATATGTTAAAGTTTTACAAAATGTGAATAATAAAAATTCAAAATTCGGCCTTCGAGTTGCCAATATTCGGGTGGAGGATTACGTTATTCAGAATTTGATTTCTGCAGGTTAGTCGTTTTTTCACAATGCGAGAAACATATCTACATTCATGCACATTCACCTTTATTTAATTTCTTTTAAAATAATACAGGGCGATAATATTTGGTGGCAAAAATTTTCAGCCTTTTACAGAGATTCAACGCAAAATCCCATTTCCAGATTTACAGCCTTCCTGAGATAACGCTCCTTTGGGCTAATAAAAAGGCACAATTAGTTCTATATCTCCCGTTGTACTGGGCCGAAGTTTAACTCGAGTTTTTCATGTCTGGGCTTAGGATATTTTTTAGATTTATATATATATATGTATATATATATATATATTGCATTTTTTCAGCATAGG